ATGGTACATCATGTCACAAATAGATATGTGCATTTGTTTCATGATCTGCTTAACAATAGCGGAATGATGGCCATTTTAAGGCCGAAAATGCATCAAAATCACGTATTTTCACAATTCCAGAACCGGATCTCAGTCATGCATGGATGGATTTTGTTCAGATTTAGCACAATGTGTTGTACATATGCAGGTGCATTTCGGTCATGATCTGCTTTGAATGTATATGTCACTCAAATATGAACGGAACGGGGACGTGTCATTGACAATGACTTGTTAAAAATATAAATTCGGTTTCAAGCCTACTCATCAATGACAAAACGCATATGTTAGCATTTTGTCTTTAAGAAGTCCTGGGTCACCAACTTTTGTTTCGAGAAAATGAGGTCAGTATTTTATCAGCATTAGAACGATTTTACCACTTTGTTCCTATGATGATGCTCTCTGAGCTCGAGGATGGTGGATGCGTTATCCTGATGCGTTATCCTGAATTATTTTAAAATGTTGATGCTATTTTGTTTCGCCGTGTATTCAATTTATATCAGTGTTGAATAATATTTGTGTAAATTTCTCAAAATACAGTACAGTAACTTTACCACATAAAACAATGTTGTTTCATGGTACTACATCTTCATTGTTGCACATACTAAACCATCGTCATTATGCAATTTACGACCAACTTTGAAAAAAAGTTTGAACAGGCTTGTACATCTTGAAGATTGGTTCTGTTTATTCAATTACTGCTCCGGGGCGCGACGTTTCGGGTGGATTTTCATCTGCGTTGGCGGGAACCAGTTATTGTTAGTAGCATATATAATTCACCCTCCTAACTGGGGTCCCAAAGGAATACTTGCACGTTTCTATGATGTACGTGTGTAATATACATACGCCATCTATGTGTGTGAAATTTGTCACGTGGTCATTTGATACTTTGGACACTTTCCACATAAAGACACGTGTACTGCGTCAGTTTCGACTGCAATCAATCCACATGATGGGGGGGGGGGGGGTCGATTCGTCCCACAAGTCGATTCGTCAGATTTAAGGTTAGCCCACTACTAACTCACCCATTAAGCACAAAAATATCCGAACGACAAACTTTACACGTGCTCGTCATGCACTGGCATGTGTAATTGTTCGTTACGCCATTTTGTTTTTGCCGACGTTGGGTTATATATGTATATGTTTCTAGTAACCGTGGTTATACTATTTGAATCATCAATTTTACTAAAGAGACGAAGCACTCTGTCGTCTACTCAGCTCTAAATATCAGGAGTCAGTCCCGTTTTGTTGAGTAAATAAGTGGACGCGATGACAAGTTAAAAGGAAAAATAGACTATAAGACTTGAAACAAAAGAGTTGAAGCATGGCTCCGCAATCCCAGGGATTGCACCAGTGCGTCATGGGAAATCTAATTTGCATGGTCCACCCAGTTGTTTACTTGGTACACAGCTGTTATTTCAACCAAAGGTATTTAAAACTTGTCCTCTATTCCCCGACTATTTTCTATGTACATAGAAGTTTTGGAAATATATATATTTGATATATCATATTTCACGTCTTTGGAGTTGTATATATTTATAAGATAAATAAAATGTCATAATAAAACAAATCACACCAAATTTCTCGGATATATTCAAATGTGGAAATATTCGTCACGTGAACAATACACTATTAATATTGACAAGTAACAACTAGTTTTATTCAATACCATGATTGACAGCCGATGCGTGAACGTAATCCAATAATTCGGCAAGATCAGTAAAACACGTCTTTGACAATAAAGTGCAAGGGAGAATGAGCAAATGGTGGAATGCTCAAAAGAAATTGAAATGCAAGTTATGATAGCAAGCGCGTCAGTAACCTATATACAGTTGGTCGAACCCGCAACGTAAACCGACAAGACATGTGATATACCGCACGTCGATGTCAACTTCTTGCACACTGACAAGAAATTGACCCTGCCTAAGATCGTCAAACTGACCAAAAAAATAAAACGGGACGAATGTGAATTGGGACGAGTCGACTTGTGGGGTGAATGTGAATTGGGACGAATAGACTCGTGGGGTGAATGTGAATTGGAATGTGAAATCATCCACATGACGTGGTGCGCCCTCTGGACTCGGGCTGACTTTTGTTTCCTATTGAAATGAACTTTAAAACACCCGAGTAATTTTACATTTTTTGGGCGATAACTTGACAGCATTCAGGGACTTCCGGTGTGGGGGGTAGGGATTACAATCCTAGTTTCTATTGACATGTGCGTCTTGACTTGACTTTTTTTCAAATATACAAAAACTATTAAGATACTGTAAAGGGGTTAATTATTCACTGGGTTTTAATTTAGCTTACTGTGAAATACTTTATTTTAGCTGGAATTATTTTTCGCTGAAAAGGCTTTTTTGGTGTTTTGTATGGAATTTATTTTCACTGATTTTTGATGAGTTGAATGATGTAATATAGGAAAAAATGTATATTCACTGGATTTTATTTTCACGGAATCATCCCTTCAGCGAAAATAGCGAAAATAAATTCCAAGCGAAAATAAAGTATTCTACAGTATTTCGCTGAATGAAAAATGCGCTAAATTAAAACCCAGTGAATATGTAAAATTTAGCATAGAACACATTATCTAAATGATAAAACCATGAATTTAAAACCCACTGAATATGCCTGAAATGGTAAATCAGTGAAATTTAAACCCAGTGAAAATTAGTCATTTTACAGTATCAAGCGTACAAACATTCCAATTCAGGTCAGGCTACGATGTAAATGCCCCGCCCCATTCCCGCCAGTCAATCTGAATCATGGATTTAACAATAAATCAAACAGCCTAATGCAGAAATAATAATAAATGTGTTTACGACATTGGTTGAGACGGAGGCATCAAACAAAATTCCCGCAAAGAGCCGGACTAACGTCAAGCTCCATTCCTAGCAATGAAACTTTTGGAAGAGTGTCGAACATGAAACACTGAGTTTTCCGATATTAACAATACATCCTGTTCATAGTTACCCCTGTTGCTTGATGGAAAATGAACAAAATATCACTCAACTGTTGTTTCATCATTGTTTATTAAACAAATCTGGCAATCTACATTTGGTATATGTGTAGCAAAACATTGTTTTCGGTGGGTGCGTAAGTATGATGTAGTGCTAGTACAAGAGACGGCACACTCAGTTCGTCACATCGTAGAGGGCGCAACATATTCTTGTCACAGAGTTATCCAGTCTCCCTTACAGAGTCTTCGTGACCCAGGGAGCCACAGAGAGCCGCAACTAGTGGGACGTTCCCTTAGTGATAAAAGACACATAGTCTCTGCGATATATTAATTTACCAGTTGCTATTTTTTTTTAACTAAAAACGCCGTGTAAAACATTCATGGGAGGTGAAAAACACTGTATAACCATTCGTCTGGTAGCTAATTTTGTTTTCTTCGCATATCAAGAGAAAACGGCTTGTGCAATTACTTAATGTTCAAGCGAATATGACAGAGACATGGCTCACTGTCAGTACCCTATAAAAGTATAAATTACGTTCAGAAAATAAGCCAGAAATTGCATATAATAATACGCCATCATTTAGTCATGTATATCTTCAAACAACTTTGTGCTGTGTCTATTCGAGTGTCAACAGCCTAACGCACAGTACCATGGGATAAACTTTCAATACGAAATAATTTTACGCCGACCCAGGCACATTAACATTTATCTCTAGCGCCCTCTGTCGATGGGTTCGAAAACAAGATGTACGAGAAAAACACAAACGAGGCATAATGTGCTACGTTAGCAATGTGTGAAGTTCTTGTACACACTTGGCAAAGTGATATTCGTACCAGCAACAGATATATAATCGCGTTAAAACTATTTAAGTCATCGAGAATTTTTCAAATAGAAAGGCTGACGGAATGCCGTCAATGTAAATGTCACAAATTGAAAACTCTTAACAGAAACATGGCTTACGCATTGTGTAGTTTGTCGTACTAGTAGGAGTAACCACAACTAGTTTTACTTCAATAGCGCCAAAAAGAGGGATGCTATTCCTACTATATCGGTTGTCACACTCTTGTGATAGATGCTAATAATCTTGAAATTTATTGTTATCTAATTCTTTCAGTGGAATATTTCTGATTCCCTGGAATTTATAACTGCCCTTGGCACCAATGGCACTGGCAGATAATCACAACAGCGATGAAAATAACTATTAAAAAGGACGGTCATTTGGATAATTGTGTAGTAGTGACATCCCATCCTGGACAAAGAGTCCCGTCCTTCTGTCAGCTTTTTAGAAGTGAAATGTATAGATTTTATTTCAAATTCGGTACACATTTGAAAAATGATCATAAATAAAAGTTCCGACTTTATTTGTCTTTAGATTTAACACGTGTGTAACAGTTTAGCGTAGTCTTGCCACTCAAACGTGTTTGTAATGTATGATAGCTCACTAAGGCACGTCAATCATTATTTCCATTAATTGATTGAAACTAGTTCACTGCCATTTTTGAGTGCAACAGTAGCTGTGCGGTATTATGAAAACACAATCATTTAATTCGTCTTTGTAAAGAGGTAGCAGGCATTGATTTGTCCTATGAACCAATCAAACCAACTTCGGCAATCCAGTACAGAGCTGTTTTCACAAATTCCTAAAACGTCGCCCGGTTTCAGCTCAATCATTGTGTCGTTGACGGCGTCCATTTTTGATGGTTGTGTGACGTTACATCCACGTGACACGTGTCGTCATTATCGCTCGGTTGATTATCGTACATCGGAATTCCCCACGTGCACCTTCATTTTACTTATCGGGAATTCGTGAAGCTGTATCTCCCTTACGCGGATGGCTTGTTTTCATCTGCATTGTCGATTCCAGAACCAGGCGTCATATCCGGGTCTGATCGTGTCGCCTTCGCCTCGGCAGTCTTGCTATATTCAGGACCATGCACTTGAGCGGCGACGGGCTCATCCTCGCTCTTTTCTTTGTGCTGATTTTTATTTTCTAAATCTCGTACTCTGTCCTCACTCTGAAGAAAGAATGTAACAAATAACAGTGACCGCTAAATTGATGTCAGCGACAATTTTCAAAACATCACCTGTGACATCATAGCAACACAGTCGTTACGCAACAATGTATAGTTACAGGCGTTGCATACGTCGCATGGGTCCCATATCGAAAAATTGTAAACACTGTTTCTAATTTTTATTCTACAAATATAACTTTTGCGTCTCGTGCGAGCAATTGCTCTTACTTGTTCTTAACACATATTGATATACAGCCGCCCTCGGTGTCCGAGGCACTAGTAATACATTCATACGCGGTCACCATATCGAGGGCGCCATCAAGGTTTTCTTGTTTTACTTACCATTGATAATTGCTCTTTTAGAATTCTTATTTCTTTAGCCATGTCGGCAAGTTTTCTTTCTTTGTCATGTTTTGTTTTCTGTGTTTCTGACGAGTCTTTCCATGTGGCTGTTAGCATGGTGCCTGATGGCTGAACTTCGTTTCGACTTTTAATCTGAAATTCAGTAATCAACAAACCCAATGTCCGGGAATGGATTCGAATAAGTTCACTTTAAGGGCATGACGCTCATCAAGATTAAAACTAATGAAATGGGAAATCATAATAACAAAGATGACGAAGTATAAATAAAGAACATGGCACCAAGTTCAGAGAAAATTATTGTAAACAATGGAGTTAAAGCGGGGTCTCGTCACCTGCGCATGCGTCAGATGGCCATAGCGTGTCATTGTTTACAGAAAAGCGTCTACCCATGAGCCTTTGCGTTTTTAGCGTGTGTTATCGTCGCTTGGGACTCAATTCCCACACGTGCACAGGTGACGACCCTCCCGCTTTTAAAATAATGGTAGGTCGTGTTAACTTAAATTGGAAATATGCTTCACTATATCACATGAGTTATGGTTTTGTATCCTGAGATTGACACAGGAATGGTGGATGAAAACGAAGCAGTAACACATTCTAATGTATAAGAAATATTTTGATCATTGGAAAAGTTCGCTTAGATTGCCAAACCCACTGATTATGGGAGTATTGGGTATTTCGTTCACGTACACTGAAACAAGATGAGTTTACGTACCTTGGGGACGAACACCATGCACTGTGTCAGAGTGGTAGCGAAGAAAATAAACATTGACATAAGTGCGTAGTATGCAGTGGCTTGTTGCTGTATAAGAAGTGAGATGGCAACCCCGACGAATGCCAGTATAAGTACATTGTATACACTTGCACCTACAGAATTAAACAACAATATTTCGAACTTATTCTATATTCATATATTATGGACGGTTTTAATTCGTCACTGACTATGAATCTGTGTTCAGCAGTCTATGGATTTGCGTGAACAGCCAATGGATTTTACACGTGTGGGACTCGTGTCAGACACCACTGTGGCGCTGTATAAGTGGTTAAGGAAGCATGCCACCACTAAAACAATGGTCCACATTTTTAACGAACGTAATGAAAGAGCAATAAAAAATGTCCGTATTTCCTGATATCAATCGTCGCCTAACAAGGTCGGCCATCGCATCATCACGAGGCAGTGAAGCCGCAATTGAAAACCGTGCGATCCAGACGTTGATATTGTGTATAACTATATATCTGTCAACATCACCATTAATGCTTCGTAGAGACGTATCGAATTTTCCCAGTCTCCCAGGACGTTGACGTCACGCTCAATACGAAACGCATTAATAGTTAATCGTACCTATATACTTCGAGTCATTGAGGGCAGGAACTGTCACATTTCTGGTTTCCCACGCTAGAAAAGCCCCAAATATCAACAGCAACCCTGAAACGTTAAACAAACGCGCAACTAATTAAAACAATTGTTCGTAATTATTTAAATATCGATCATAAGGTGTAGAAAACACTATGGCACTTGGACCGTTCCAACTACTAGTAATTCTAGTTTCGGTGTGTGGTGGCGCTTTCAATACTAACCTTTAATCGCGTAGAGCGCCCCCAGCCAGTACATAGTGTTAATTGATTCACACACTAACCAGACTGGCACGATGACGATGTCACTGTCTGTTGGATGCTCCTAGTTCAGAAAAGTAAACGTGTGCAAATGTTATAATCTGTACGTCGGTGTACACATGCCTTTACCAAATAGTATCGTCACCATGTATAAAGCAAATAAAAGTGAACGAACTCAATATTTGAGCACAGCAATTTTTCATTAATAGGGAGCAGTTCTGTATGGACTTACGCTTGGAAAGTTATTACAAATGTGTTTTTTATAAGTCTGTATCCCTTGCTTAATGATTACAAACGATATTAGAAAATTTCCCTGAATTCTCCTTGCATCATTAAATAGTTAACTCATTGAACGGCAAAGTTAAAAGTTGTCTGATTTTATAACATACATCTCAAATTATCTTCATTAGTTTCGATAATAAAAATACGAAAATGTTACAACAAAACAAATTACGGCGTTTCAAGGGGGTTAAAAATGACTCAAGGGGGTTGACTCTCACGCAATCTACGCCTGGTCATCCTTACCTGATGTGGCCCAGATCGCATCACAATCTTCAATGGATCAATTAGATCCCATAATGTTAGAACAATCATATCTACAAAGACTAGCAATCCAACCATACCAAATAATTGAATATCTTTAATTACCTGAAAACAAGATAGCAACAATCGTGACATGAAATTCAACATTGTGAAAATTCACAATATTGCGGTGTCAATTAGTAGTAAAATGTACCAGATACATTTGGACAAATAATCAGATGAAACTATTCTCTGTGGCTGAACTGAAAAAAACAAACATTTACTGTACACAGAATTCATGGAAAAGAACAGTTATGTACAAATTTGATTAAACAGTTAAAATGTATGCACAGATAACCACGAAATAATATTTGTCCTCAATGTGAAGTTTATTCCACATCTGCAGAACTCTACAGTGCTGATAAATCATCTGGACTGTTGTGAAACATGTTTTAGTAAAAATTGTTGAAACGTATTACTTCTACGTGTGATGTTAACTAAACTCCACATGAACAGACGGGTAGTTTTGGCCAACATTTCTAATAAGCAACCATACTGTTACAGTGATTTGCATCTGCACCGTGTTTTACGCTTTTAAAACTGGGGAGTCGTCGCATTCGCAGGTCGCAGGCGGCCATAGCGTGTCGTTTGCGTTTTAGAGCGCGTTGTTATCGTCGCTCGGGAGTCCATTTCCGCGCGTGCGCAGGTGACGACTTCCCTGCTTTAATATTCACTGACTTACCCGTTTTTCCAACTTCTTGTTTGTAAATATTTTATGAACTCTCCATGTTTTACTGAACATAGCACCAAATGAAAGGGAGAAACTCATGGCCAATACCCAGCGATTAACCTGAAAAAAAGATACATAGACCACGCAACGATTATTTTCAATGATACGTTATTTCTGGTGGGGTATTAATACCCGAGATATGGTTAAAATATTATTTTGTCTGTGTCACATTGTTGTGATATATTTATAAATTATTTCCCACTATCCTGTCATGATTTCTTGGCTGACTTCTTGTCAATTCGTTTCAAATTCTAACATACCGGCAACCTTCCCCCAAAACACAAATATTACGCAACCATTTATAACTCCATCTCTAGGCTGCAGAGGATATTAGATATTACCAGATATAGAAATCCCCAGCTGAAAAAAGCGAATAGTGGCGCTAAGTCGCACCTTTTAGCAACGTATCGTCTCTGCAACGTTCTCTGATAAACAGTATTTTAATTGGGCGAGGCCTCAAACTATTATTACCGATGCTATGAACGAGGTACCCCCTATTTACGTCACACACAGTTTCATCGCCGGAGGGCGTTACTCATAGGAACTATGCATATAACGCACCACCAAGCGCGATGTGATCAGGAATATTAAATTTGCTGAGATACACGAATCTGCGGGCACCTGACTATTCACTGAACAATTGTACTGAGTTCGTAGAATTCACGGAACCCTGAAAATTATTGAGCGATTCTGCTCTCTCAACGGCCAACAACCAACATAGGTTACTTACTTTATGTATTGTTAGATAGCTGGCGTCTGAAACGATGTCTGAACTGATGCCTGATAATATGATGGATACGTAAGCTAACTGGCAGCCAAACAAGATCAGATTGTTCATATATGGACTTGACATTTTAATAAATCTGGAAGAATAATTTGGACACGAACTGTCGTGAGATTGGAGTAAAAGAAACACAATTTCTGGAACAAAGACTAGGGTTAAAGATGGGATAGACAAGTAACTTTTGTAGGGAGTTTTTTTCCACTAATAAAAAAATTGTCGGAAAAGATGCATCAATAGGAAAAATGGGATAATTTTTATTGGATAAATATTTCAACATGATTTCATCATAAAAAAAATTAAAAATGTTTCAAAATATTCTAGAAATTCGTGACAACCATAACAACAAGTCAAGAAACCGAATTATTCTTACCTGTGATTTCTGTATTTTAAATTAAACCATAGAAATGCAAACGCTAACATGATACCCATTGATGACAATGCTGTCATGGCAACGAACAGTGCAAATAAAATAGTCTGGTACTGTTCAATAACCTGCTCCGCATCAGCCGGCGGCTTTCCACCTAGTAATTGATTTCACGGAAAAGTAATGTTCAATAACGCGTATCAAAACCAAGATGATCAATGTAGATACGGCGTTTTATATTGATTAATATCGTATTATCTCGATCTACTGAACCGTCAATATTTATTGACATAACTATCAACACTAATAATTAATAACCATCCTTAATATTCTGATCTCTAAAATTGATGTCACTCTGTATATTGATGTGAAAGTATTTCTGAATGAAACGTGCTACATAATATATCAGAAGTGCATTACTTATGGTTTGCAACTACGGTGACATGATACCAAGATTCCGTTTCAATCTCGCATAAGCGTTCCAACTCAGAAAATGCGAATGCGCATGCCCGAGGTAACTAGGATGTCCAGGTGGATCAAAATAGCTGCCCACGATATCACGGATTACGATAACTATATTTTCTGTACATTTTCGATGTATTACATTTTCTTCACTATGAATGTGGTAATACATGTTTTATTGTTTTATTACAAACCGCCTCAATCTGCCAGGCAGAGTTCTATTCCACGAATATATCTCTGCCACCACGCGATCTTATGCTCGTCGTTGATTGGTCGATGCGTCAGAGTGGTACTTCTTTCAAAGACGCTCACCAAAAAATTGTCATGCAAGTGTTCGATTTTCGAACTCTAAGAATGTGTACGCGTTGTTTGCAGATTTTGGCTGTTTTCAAAGTTAGAAGCTTCTTTTTATTTATTTCTGTTACACAAACGGTGTGGTAGTAGGACGATTTAGTCGTCAATACTACGAAGTGCTTTCGATAGTTTTTTTTTTTTGTATTTTAATATATTTTTTTATTGGGTACTCATAAAAATTTACATATCTGTGAATAAAGTGGTTATGCTTACATTCCTGTATAACTCAAAGTTTTTCAAAATGACATTTCTCAAAGCTTCAGAAGAGGAATAGTTTATTGCTCAAACCCAGAACCTTTATGTTTGCTTTTGGTTCACATGGACGGATTTTTTCCCTAAGATCACTATATTCACTAGA